ATCTATATACTCATATACTACTTTTTGCCTGCGGCGCCCCCAAGCCCACCAAACAAACAACCCCACCAGCATGCGGTAAATAAACCTATAGGGGTACCCGTTTACCAACCCCCAAGCGCCCCCAGGCCTATAATATCTTCAAATTAACAACAGAATGAGTGTAATTTTAAAATACGAACAACACAAATTCGAAGGAGACGGTTTCTTCTCAGCTCTATCATCTCTCATCCCAAAAGTAGCCAACTTTGTCTCAAACAACAAATCCCTCATTTCCTCAGAGGCGCAAGCTGCTGGATCTGTTGCAAAAGCAGGAGTAAATATAAGCGAAGCATCTAACGAGTTGAAAGAATTACAACATATGAGAGAAATGCGAAATAAAAGATTAGAAAACAAAAAAGGCAATGGTTTTAAAATTATTGGATAAAAATGTCAATGATAATTGCTCAAACACATCTTCCCGGTAATAATTACACTGGTCCAGGTACAAGGTTAGATCTGCGATTAGACCAAAACGATAAACCCAAAACCAGGTGAAGAACCCGTCAATAGAGTTGATGCTGCTGCACTTAAACACGATATTTTATACAGAAATAAAGACATAACATCCAGACACGAAGCAGACAGGCAAATGATAATCGAAAATATTCCAAATCCAACTTTCAAAGAGAGAATACAAAGAGCATTAATCATTAAACTCTTGAAAGCAAAGATGAAAATGGGTATGGGAATAGCAGATGTAATACACAAAGATTTTTAGAAAAAAACAAACATTTTTTAAAAGTCAAAGTGTTTGATAAAGATAAAATATGGTCAGCCGATTTAATTAATATGCCAGTTGAAAGAGGATATAAATATTGTTAAACCGTTATAGATTTGTACACAAGATATACTTGGTTTTCGGGGAAGGGAGGGTTTGATTCTCCCAAATGTACATTTGAAACAATAATTAAAACAATCCGACAGACGACCTCAAAAGTTATGGGTAGAAAAAGGAAGTGAATTTTATAACGGAAATAAGAAATCTCTAGGATTTGAAATTTACAGCACACATGATGAAGGTAAAGCTGTAGTTATTGAGAGATATAATAGAACTCTAAAAAATAAATTATTCAAAAAGTTCACGGATTTGAAATCCCAAAAATGGCTTAAAATATTACCAGAGGTTGTAGATGAATACAATAACAATTTTCATTCATCTACAGGTGTCACACCAACTCAAGCCACAAATAATCTAAATATTATAAAGTCAATTAGCGCACAACATAACTAAGAAAATGAATAAATGATTTAAATATTAAACCCAAGTTGGAGATCCCGATCGTATTTTCAAATATAAAAGCAAATTCGAAAAAGGCTACGTTGGATTTTGGACCAACGAAATATTTATCGTAGATAAAGTAAACAGCACATCACCTCCAACATATGAATTAATCGGTCAAGACAAAGAACAAATCATAGGTAGGTTTTATAAAAACGAACTTAAAAAAACTGACTTTTAAAAATGAATATTTATCTCGATAAATACGGAACCGATACAACTACAAACTTTCAACTTATGAGATGAGCGAATGAGTTAAATATTTCACTGTTTTATTATTGTATGAGAGATGAAATAAATAATCTCAAGGATAAGAAAGGTAAATTTTATGCTATAACAAATATCCATACTTCAAATCAAAACGGAGTTCATCACTCTGCTTTATACAAAGACTCTTTATATAACTTTTATTTCTTCAATTCTTTTGGATTAGAACCAACTGAAGAGATAATGCAATTAATGAAAATGACTAATCAACCAATTAAATGTTCTACATTTCAAATTCAATTACCAGGACAAAAGTTTTGTGGTCAACTTTCACTTTGGGTTTTATATCAATTAAGTTTAGGAAATCTGTTTGCAGAAATTGTAATACATTTAACTTAATAAAAAAGACGAATAAATTTAGATTAGGTTATTTACCTTTAGATACTAAAAAACCTTATTCAACAGCATGGATAAATAAAGCAAAACCTTATTTTGTGGAACAAATTGGAGACACACTTCAAGGTGATTTAGATATGAATAATTTTACCATAACTAATTTAAAGTTACCAGAAAATGATTATGATGCTGTTCACAAGAAATATTTAATGGATCAATTAAATTTAATTGAAGTAAATAAAGACCATTTAAAAGAAAGAATAGGCGATGTGAAAAGATACTTCAAACGACAAATAATAATAAAGTTATTGACTAAATTACAACAAGAAGTAACAAGTTTAAAAAGTTTTATTGAAGAACAATTACTTAATGTAGTAGATAAAACTCAATTACAAACTTTAAGTTCATTAATATCTAATTTAGATGATAAGATTACAAAACAAAAAGTAGATCTTAAACAACTAATAGCCAACATTAATCCAAGTTTAAGTGAAGATTAATTAACAACATTAGAAACTAAACTTATTGATAGTGGTGAAATACAAAAGGAAATAGTTGCTATTAAACAACAATTACTCAATCTAGTAGATAAAACTCAATTACAAAATTTAAAATCATTAATATCTAAATTAGATGATAAGATAGCAAAGCGAAAAATATATCTTAAACAACTAATAGATAATATTAATCCAGGTATAAGTGAAGATAAATTAACTGAATTAGAAACTGAATTACAACAAGAACTAACAAATATTAAACAACAAATTCAACAACAGATAGAAAATATTGATTATAGTGAGCAGATAACTACTATTAATAATGAAGTTTTAAAACAGGAAAAAAATATAACCACATTAGAAAACAAACTCAAGTAAAATAAAAAAAAATCATATTATTTCAATCTTCCATTTAAAAATATTGGTGGAAAACATGTTTCTATTACTAATAATATTGATAAATCAAAAGATTATGAATATAAAAAATATGGATTTACAGCAACCGTTGAAGTATATTCTGTTCAAGATTTTACGTTCCTCCAAGGTATTTCTAATGAAGAAAAATCATCATATTTTATTTTCAGAGGAAAACTTCAAATTGAAATTACTTTTCTTTTGCAGGTAAAAGTTGATTCAATATTCTTCACACAAAAATCAGAAACATCTAATCAATTTAACGCTTATAAAGTTCTTCGGTTTATCAATGGTAGAGAAAATGTAGAAACTAAAGAATTTGAAATTAACGATGAAAACAGTAAGGTTTTTCCCTACTTATATGAAATTAAAACAAATGGAAAATATATAGATAGGTTTAGAATGTTAATTTTACCAGATAAAGAAGATGAGGTGTTTGGATTGGGTAAATTCCATATGATATTGGAGACGGAAACTCCACCATCAGTAAGTATTATTAGAAAACCAGAACCACAAAATAAAGGGGAAACAAGGAGTTATGAGTTTTTACGAACATCAACAGACTTTGAATATGTAAAACTATATTTTGTTAATACTGATTTATTTACCTCAATTGATATTCATAAAAATAAAAATATAACAAATTTATAATATTTTCATCAATAATTGAAAGTGAAAAAGTTGATGATATATATACTTATTCAAGTATGATAAAAAATCAATATAAAAAACCAAAAATTTCAGTTCATTTGAATAGAAATAATGATTCGAAAGAAGAAATATCTGTGGTAACTGTATAAGTTACTATTTTTAAAACTATAGAAATTTATCATGGCCCAGCGGTTGAGATGTATATTTTAGATAAAAATTATCCAACTTTTAAGTTATCGGAAATTCACTTAATTTATGTCTTAAAAATGGAACTCGAAAGTAGACAACAATATATGATAGACAAACAAAACGAGTTAAAAGTAAAACTAGAACAATATAATAAATGTAAGAAAAGATGGATTAGAGTTTATTCTGTTTTCAAAACACTGAGTGTAGTTCTAACAGTAGGAACAACAGTTGCAACGGCCTTAATTGGTGGATTAATGGTTCCACTACATATCCCAACTTTATTAGCAACAATTACTGCTATTCAAACTTCATCTTGTGGGTTGATTGCTAAAGGTTATACATCAAAACAGAAATCTTATAAACCTATCTTAATAAATTATTTATATTTTTTGACAGATCAAGAGAAGATAAGAACATAACCGTTGAAGAACTGGAAAAATTCAATGAAATTCTAGATAAATTCGAGATGGAAATATCAGCAATAAAAGTTAAAAAAAAATAGATAATTAAAAAAGCATATATAAAAAATATGAATAAATCAATTGAAATCAATGATGATAAAAGATTCATAGAATATGTGCTATTTTCAAATATTATCAAGATTATTTCTGATAAATTTTTAACATTTAAAGGAAAAATTGAAATAGATGGAGAGATATTTCAAGATGGAAAACACAAACAAGATATGCATCTTGTTGGTTTCAATGGTAAATCTTTTCACAAAATCTTTTCTAGAATGGATTTAGAATCTGATGCTTTTGATTGGTATTTTACAAGAAGAATCCTTTTACGTAAAGACAATTTTAATGAAATTAAAAGATCAAAAGTTGGAAGAGGAACTGAACTACTCAAAAAAATAAATGAATATATAGGTAAAAATTGTTACATACCAACATATGGTAACTGTTTTATCAAATGTGTAAACTATGTTTTAAACAAAGATTTAACAAATGAATTTCAAAATTTCATCAATGGTTTCTCAAAATCAAATAGAAAAGGAGTAATGACATTTGCTAGAATTAATGAATTCAATAAGAAATGTGATACTTCATTTCAAATTTATACTCATAATAATAGAAATTTGCGCCCCACTATTGAAAAAGAGGAATTAGATTGGGTTTTATGCTTTTTATTTGCTTGGGATTGTGAAACATATTCAGAAAAGTGAAACGCGTAAAGCAATTCCTTATGCGTGTACGTTAATTAATTTAGAAAAACTAAGAAAAATGTTAGACAGAATAAATAATCTCTTTCAAGATTTAAATCCTACAGATAATGTTCCAGAAGAATTTTATGATAAGCTAATGAATATAGTAGAAATATTTGTACAGGTACAGATTGTATAGATCAAATGTTGAAATATTTAGGTCTATATGATAGAAAGAGATTAATATTAATTTCTCATAACGGTAGCAGTTTTGATAACTGGATCGTGCTTAAAAATATAAAAAAAACTAACGCAATGCCCTTTAAAAACACCTGGAGGAATTCTATCTTTACCTTTATCTAATCCATACACAGATGAAGATTTACAGAAAAAATGGAAAAGACAGAAAGAAATAACAACCAATGATAATTATTTACAACATATTAATTTCACACGTTCCTATCAACATGAATCATCTAGTTTAGCAAAATGGGGTAATTCATCACACACTAACCCTTTTATAAGACATTATATCAGACGATCTATTAAAGGGGGGAGAGTTTCGGCAAATAGAAAAATATTTGAAACGAACCAAATGGATGAAATTTGTAATGTATTAAAGGAATTTATTTCACAAAGTGATAAACGAAGTGATACAGAAAGTATTTCACAAAGTGATAAACGAAGTGATACAGAAAGTATTTCACAAAGTGAAACACCAAGTGATACTGGAAGTATTTCACAAAGTGAAACACCAAGTGATAATTCAAGAAGAGATAGCATAATTGATTTATTCAAAGAATACAGCGCGAGCACAAAAGACAAAACAGAAGTTAATTCAAAACTTAAAAAAATAAACTGCAATAAACTTATGACATTTGATGCTAATGGTTTGTACGCTTCAGCAATGTCGGATTTGGACAGTGAATATCCAAAAGCAGAAAAGTGCTAGACCGTTTCTACCAGAAGAAGAAAAATAATTTGTAAAACTCTTCAATCAACAGAAATTTAGACCTAGAACAAATATTTTAACAGTGTGGTTTAAATATCCTACCAACATGTTCTTCCAACCAATACCAGCTAAAGATAAAATCACTTACACAAATAAAGAAGTAGAAGTAGAAATAGTATACGAAGAAAATTTTAAAACTCCACCTTATAGAGATTATATTTTGATTTTAAGAGATCTTAGAAATAAATATAAACGAGAAGGTAATATTGTGGGTAGTAATTGCATGAAATTATAGGCAATTCCTTGTATGGTAAATCTATTCCGAAGGATAGAAACACGAATAATCATTTGTGGAATGAAATAACTTTTCAGGCTAACTTCGACTCACATGTTAAAAACTATGAAAAAATAAATGATACTCAATATTTCGTTGAGATAGAAATTGAAGAAAAAGAGATTACTGCTGAGGATCACTCAACTAAATGTACAGGACTTACACCTAGTCATTTGGGATCTTTCGTTTTATATTACAATAAAAAGAATAATGAATAATTTCATTCATGTAATAAATGGATTTTATAAACCTGAAATATACTATACCGATACTAATATTGGTTGGTATCTGAAAATGAATATTGTAAAGGCAAGAATGATTACGGTGATGGTGGAATCATATTTGGTTTATATTTAGCGCCAAAAGTCAAATATAATATCATTCTAACTTCTGATGGTGTTTTAAAAGAAAAGAAAACGTTAAAGGGTTATTTTAATAATAAGACAGGTGTAGAAGATTATATTCGGTTGGCTAGTGGACATGATATGTCGAATGAATTTAACAAAAGATGGGAAAGGAGTTTCACGAATGGTATAGTTATTCCAAAGGATGATGATAAACAAAAGAAAGTTTTTAAAAGTTATTTGAATTTTGTAACGAGAAAACTACCAAACAGTGAAGGAATTATGTATCCTTATAGTGATAAAGATGAGTATAGTTTTGATGAAAACTATGAATTTGATGATTTCGGTTACCTATATATTCAAGAAGAGAATGAAGAGTGCTTAATTACTCAATAAAAATTTTGTTCTTTTGTTTTAAATAAAGTTGAATAACAATTTCCTCGTTACCAAAATCAATAAACCTATTTTTACCATCTTTGATTTCCAGATTTACATCTTTAATCATGAAAGTGGTAAATATGTTTCTCTATAAATCTATATCCAATCGGTACAGTGAATGTTGGAATACTGTAAATAATCTGACGTTTGTGTTTATTGAAAAATCCACCGTTTATTAAATTACAGTGAATATTAATGACGTCGATATCATTCTCGATATTAGCTTTATGTGGGGCTTAAGTGGATTGCGTATATATTTGCTTATCAAATCCTAATAAAGAATTTTCTACGTTGAAATCAACTTGACTCTTATTTCTCAATATCAATTATATTTTGTTCAGATTCAAATTACCTTCGAATTCAATATTGTTTTTACCATTTGCACTTCCTCCATATTCAGATAGATATTTGTTTATGGCAACGTATTCATAGCTTCCTGGTAGTAAACTTATGGTTTTGAATGTAGTTCCGTTATCTGTTGATATTTTCATTTGGTTATTATTTTCGTTGATATTTCTAATGGAATTGTAAACAGAGAAATATTTTAATCCCAATTCATATTCTTCATTGCGATCGAGTTCATAATCATAATCTAGAGACAATTTAATGTCTGATCTATTTGAGGTGATAACGAATAGTTGTTCTTTATTTGTCATTTTTTCAATGACTATTTTTATTGAATAATTTTATAAATTACGCTTTTATAATCATTTTTATCTATGATACCTTTCTCTAGAAGTCCTTTTAATATACAATTAACTTCATTATATTGTCTGTCTGAACGATGACCTTCCTTCATTGCTGCTAATATTATTTCTAATCTATTAAGTAATTCATCGTTGTTGTCGGATAAAAACGTTATACCTTGTCCACTGTTTTCTCTAGCTATCTCCTCTTCCAATTCGCCTATTTTCTGTGTGATTATATCATCTTAAGCATATTCATCATCTTGATTAATAATAGCTCTTGTATATTGATCAACTTCTTTTAATCTTTTTGTTTCGGGTCCCGTCTTTCTTATCATTATGTAGAAATTTTGAGTATTCTACTAAATCCTTGTAATCGGCATTATCAACATCCCCGTCATTCATTAAATCTATTAACCCTTTTGTTAATGTAAATATAAAGTCTTTTGTATCGATTTTGAATATTGGTGAATTTCCACTAAATCTTATCCTAAATCCATTAAACAATAACCTTTCATTATCAACAATTGGTGTAATGCTCTTTGGCAAATCCGGGTTTGGATTTGAAAAATAATGTTTTATATCATCTAATGTCCTAATTATAAAACCACCATATTCAATCGGTTTTGGGGGATCTTTATGGGGTGAAGCTTTTAAGGGAGGCGCGAGTCTCTTTTTAATATCTTCTTGACTTTTTAATATTGGTTGAAATAGAGTTTGTAGATTTTCTGTTAATCCAAGTTGTTCTAATCTGTTATTTTCAACGTGGGTCTTTATTTTATTCTTAACTTTGATATATTGTCTATTTATTTTTATAATATTATTCCAATCACCCATTTTTAAAGAAATAAAATTAACATATATCTGTCATAACTCTTTCACCCGCAGGTTTTCTAGTATTAACGAATATATATCCATGATCATCTGGGTTTCTCCATAGTGCTTTACAATCCTTTTTAATGTATCTCTATTTATTGACTGAATAATTTGAGATAAATCTTTGTCGTTCAATTCGAATAATAAAAACAATTTGCATTTTTTCTAATGAACATTGCATCCATTCCGTAGAAAGATTGGGATTGGTAAATACAATGACAGTTGTGATGTCTTCCTTTTGTGAAGAATTCTTGTTGAACAGCTTGATTTCTTTGTGCTACACAATCGTCAAACACTATTAAGTTCTTTCGCTCACTATCAATTTAAGACAAATCTTAATCATTAACATTTTTCGTAAGAAAAACTTTTATGTTTGTTGGATTGAAAGATGGATTCTTTTCTTGTATATATGTATCTAAGATATCTTTTATTTTTTTATCTCTTCATTGTCTTCATAATATTTAAATATGTCTTGAACATCTTTCTTTGGTAAATATTCTAAAGCTTTGAGGAATTGATAATATGATTGCTCTGGTGTTGTTGTGTAGATATTTAATGAATCGAAATCTAAAAGTTTTGGTGTCAACATGTTAATGGTCAAATAAGTTTTTCCAGAACCTGAGCTTCCACAAATACACATAAGCATTGGGTTACTAGGAAATATTTCTGAATGATTAAATTTTCTGCCCAATTTTTATTCTATATTTTTGTTCCAAAAATTACTCCATCTCCTTTATACTTTGAAAAAAAGATTCCCTCTTTTTACTAAAGTTTCTGGTTTCATTTTTAAGAGGGTAATTTAAGTGATTATTCTATACGAATCATCCGTCTGTCGGATATTTTAATTAAATGTTTTGCTTCTTTCAATAATAAACAATAACCGGTTACATCTCCTTGTGTTTTTTCAATATGAATATTTATATTCACCCCTGTTTTGAAAAGTTCTTCTTGATGAGCCGATAGATCAAAACAGAAGATTGGGTGATTAATTGCAAAATCTACATATTCAAACTGAGGTGAATTTCCAAATAATTCACACATAATTTTATAGTTTCTATACAATTCATTATAATCCTTCGTGGATGGATTAATTGTTAGAGGTTGGTTAGGATAATTATCGTTCTTTAATCTTACTTGAACTTTACGGATTATAGGATCTTGAGATTGGTTCATTGCTACTCTAAAGATATTATTGTTATTCGTTTGAGAATCTGGTAAGTTCTTGAAACCAACCATTAAATATCTTGCTGGTTTAATAGTGTTAGTGATTGGCCATGTAGTGGACCAGTTATAGTCATTCTGCCTATTTATTACGACGAAGAAATTTCAATATCTTAAGTTAACGAGTTGAATATTCTCGTTTCTACTTCATTTGATGGTGTTATTATGGGTATGTAAAGTTGGAGATTCGTTATTTCAAATTTTGCATCTGAAGCATTTTCTCCAAAGAATATCTTATGATCATTGATTTCTCTTTGTAGATGAATTTTATATGGTAACCCTATGGAAACTTTTCTGCGTTCCAACAGACCGAATAAAGGATATAATTTCCAATTTACGAAACACCTCACCTATTATTCTCAACAACATTATTGTACTGAAGTACTCGTTTGTCAAATCCATGATTACCTGCTTTTGTTATTGTGTTTCGAGCAATAGCTCAAATTCTATCTTCATTTGCATCATTTGGAACATTTCTTACCGGTTCTTTTAAAACTCTTCCATCACCAACATCGGGTATACAGCCTGAGACTGAATCGTTGTTTTTGGGATATAGAACTGTTTTTTTAAACATTGTGTCAAATTCCCCAGGGTGTTTAATGGTTTCTATGGGATTTGAACCATCTTCCAAAACCATTTCAGTAAATAAAGATGGGAAGTAATTGTTTTCTAATGTTGTGTTGGTTTGTGGTACACGATTCTCATTGGGAGTTCCGTCTTTTATTTTGAACTCGCATCTGAAATAGGCATCAGACAGAAGCAACCAATTTGATAATGAATTAATCTCGAGAGTGACCTACGGTTGGTGATATGATAATGTAATCCTCTTTTTTCTTATTAAACGAATAACGAATTGGATCATATAATTGAAAGATCGGATCTAATCTGTAATTTTTTTATGCCATTTTTAAAGATAGGTTTTACCCTATTTTTTGAAACCATTTACCCCCATGGAAATGCAGGAAGAATAACAAAAAACCAAAGTAGTTTTAATATTTTAATAAATACAAGGAAATTTAAAACATAAACAATTATATTGATATACACTTCTACTAGGATTGGTAATGTTCACCTCACGACCGCTCCTAGAAAATCGGTAGATATGGTTCAGGGTTATGACCGCTCCTATAGAATCGCTAGATATACTTTAGAGTTATCTCCCCTCTTTCACTATTGGCAGTCATAGTTCAGGGGTTATGACTGCTCCTATAGAATTTCTAGATATACTTCAGAGTTATCTCCCCTCTTATACTATTGGCAGTCATAGTTCAGGGGTCATGACCGCTCCTATAGAATCGCTAGATATACGTCACATGAATTATATCCTTTTCCAAAACGCTTGTTCTTCACCACTTGTTCTATTTTCGAAATCTCTATCAACAATTTTGAAACCTCGGATATTTGTCACAGAGTTTGGTAAAAATCTTGCCCCTTAGTATCACCCACGGCCTGCGATGGTTTAAATATTCTTCGTGATATGAAATATTGGCATCTATTAAACTTATGTCTGGAATAAAACAAAATTGATATTTTAAAAAACAACAAATAATCTTAATTCCACCCTCTTGTCTTATGATTAAATTAAACAAAGAACATACCTTGATTTTGTATGATTAAATTCCTAATCTTCCAGCGTAACAAAATTGAGACAGTGTTAATAGTTGGGAGTTTAGTCTGTCTATGCTGACGTGGCATGGGCGGAATGTTATATGTTAATATAACCATCTGTTACTTAGTGACGTATATTCAGTCAACAATAGTCTAGACTACTGATTGTTACCGGGCGTTAAAGGTAATTATTAAATCAATAATACTCTAGAAAACTAACTGTGTATAAACTGCTTGGTATTTTACTTTGAAGTAAACAAAAAACAGTGTTATCTTCCATTTATCAGTTAAAAAATGTTTCTTTTTTCTAAATTCTTTGTGTATTTCATCTGCTATTCCCATACCCATTTTCATCTTTGCTCTTCAAGTGTTTAATGATTAATGCTCTTTGTATTCTCTCTTTGAAAGTTGGATTTGGTATATTTTCAAGTTCGATTATCATTTGTTTGTCTTCTTCGTGTCTGAAGTTTATGTCTTTATTTCTGTATAAAATATCATGTTTAAGTGCAGCGGCGTCAACTCTATTGACGGGTTCTTCACCTGGTTTTGGTCTATCGTTTTGATCTAACCTTGTACCTGGACCAGTGTAATTATGTAAAGATGTTTTTCTCCGGGATATTTTGCCCATGGAAAGCCAGGAAGAGAGCCTAATGATTTTTGAATGTCAGAACCGAAATAAGTTTTAGGAGTTTGAGCAATTATCATTGACATTTTTATCCAATAATTTTAAAACCATAGCCTTTTTTGTTTTCTAATCTTTTATTTTGCATTTCTCTTAAATGTTGTAATTCTTTCAACTCGTTAGACCTTTTCACTGCTTCGCAGTTTTGAGAAGAAACCGTCTCCTTCGAATTTGTGTTGTTCGTGTTTTAAAATCAAACTCATTCTGTTTTTAAATGAGTTAATTTGAAGATATTATAGGCCTGGGGGCGCTTGGGGGTTGGTAAACTGGTACCCCTATAGGCTCCGGGTTCATTAACCGTATGCCTGGTGGGGTTGTTTGTTTGGTGGGCTTGAGGGCGCCGCAGGCAAAAAGTAGTATATGAGTATATAGATAGGGGGCTGCCCCTATCTATATACTCATATACTGCTATTCTCTACAACATTATTTGACCATTTAGTCTACTTATGAAAATGTTAAATTCAATTGTACTCTTTCACTTCGTTTTAGTGACAAATTTAAATTGGTAAAAGAGTTGGAAGACTGTGATCCATAATAAAGCTTGAAAGTACTGTAATTCGATGCATTTCGACGCAAGGAATTTAGTGATGGAACACTAATTCAAACTTTAATAATGATGTGGAAATGATATTACCCTAGCTAGATAATTGGCAAAAATGAAATGTAATTTGGCACATTGAACAATAAATGCAAATGATAATAACAAGAATTTTATAATCACAACACCCTTTATTCAATCCATTTCCCTTTCTTTGTATCACTGGTTTAATTGAAATACTTAATTCAATTCAATGAAAATCATTTTGATATTGTGATCTAAAGATCTCAAGTTGAAATATTTGAATTATTGAAATCATGTCGATTAAAATATCAACCAGTCTACAACTACGGTGTTTTACTGATTATCTTCAAAAACTGAAATACAAATCCTACAATATTTACTTTGACAATAACTGTGAAAATATATCTTGGGTTTATCAAATACAGCAACTCCTCATAATATACTTATCTATGGCGTCTGTTTAACAGAGGCCTATTTCAGTGTATAATACTGTAATCAAACACAAAATTTAATAAAGATCAGACAAAAAATATAGCCTTTATCGCATTCACAAGTCACTATTTACGTACTTCATTGCATCCAGGGTTGAAACTCCAAATTCGAACTTGTCTAAGTTGATCTTGAACTTTTCCAAGATCGTCTTGATATAATCCTACACACAACAATTTACGACAAAAACTGTCCCCTCTTCGTGTTTTAACGTATTTTCGGTGTATCAAGGGTTAAAACTCCGTCAATATTTATCGAATCGAACCCAATATCGATCTTGTTCAAGGTCTTGTGGATAAAATCTTTCACCAAATTTTTTTATTATTTTTTTAGCATATTATTTCAGCAACGTTTTATATACCTTTTACTTCAAGAGAAGTAATTCTCTACAACTTTATTTGACCATTGCGGCTACTTATGAAAAATTTTAATATTCAATTCAATTCAATTCATGCAACATCAACATTTTCCATTACAACGAGTACCTCTCAATACACGAGAATACCCTTTTTACCTGTATCAGACCATTCACTAATTCTTCTACTGGCTACCCATCTGTCATTACAAAATATTCCTCGTTCCATATACTACTACTTTACCCCACTCTCCTTTCTTTAATCTCATTAAAACTCATTTACAACTGATTCTCACCAACAGTCGTATTACTCTTAGTCTACCTCTTAACTCCGTACTTTCGCTCTCATTGCCGTACATTGACGTCCTTCTACTACTCCTGTCCTTTCTTCCTACCCCAAAAATTTCTCCTCTCAACTGCACTGCGCTCAATTAGTTCCCCTGTCTTTACTTACATTTTCTTCTTTGTTTTTCTTACCTCATTTTCCCCCGTCTACTCTGTAAATGGTGCTTCTAAGTGTGTTGAAACTGAGTGGAGCAGGAAGTTTTGGGCAATGACTTCAAAATTGACTTAAGAAGTACGCATTAACGTATCTCGACAAATTTTACAATTATTGCCTCGTCAGAGAATTGAACTGCAAGAACAAATTTTACAGAACAAGTAAATGAATTATAAACTTTATTCCATTTAAGCCTTGTTACAACTACCAAAAAATCTATCTAAACCAGATTTTCCATGAGCGACACATGTAGTACCTGCTTCACAATCACACCATTCTCCTGATCTGTTGTTTACCAGACATCTCTCACCTTTACGCTTGATTTTGCGACACATATGGACCTTCAACTCGGTATTGATAGGATTAATAAATTTGGATTTGAGATCTGAAATCTTCAGTTGTCGTTTGCTGGCGATGGCAGAGAAAAAACTTACACAGCATTCATCTGCCTTACATCCATTCGGACACCCTACACTCAATGTAGCCTATAAGTAGATAAAACAGTATAAAGCTAGTGGGTTGCCAAAATGTATGAAAAGAATCCCGAACCCCTATACTACCAAAAAAAATTTATTCAGATCGTAAAAGTGTTCATAAACAGTCGTCTAAAAGATCAATGAACATATATAAGTCCACAGGGAAATGGTGCATTTTTGAGCAATTTCAGCATGTACCTTTTTCATCAGACAAACTATGGTAGGTTTCTTTTAAAGAAACAGGTGCGCCAGTTTATTTGACCAATCATACTTTAGTTTCAGAAACGGGAATTTTCTAACTAAGCTATATATAATATATATATATATGATATAATATAATATTTTAATATACTCTGTGATATTTAGAAAAGACATATCGAAATAGTGGGTAAAATTTCTAGTATGAAGTATTTTTAAAAGAACTATGTGATGTCTAGTATTTCTGAAGATTATTTACATATATTCAAAACTCAAATCAACCCTCAAAGTAGCGCAGCTGTGCCTTTAGGTTAGGGAAGTAGTTGAGCCGAATTAAAGGGGTGTGGTCGTCACAATATTTGCTTTACCAGCTTATATCGTAATGGCTACATACAAGCACGTTTTGTCGTATTGTAATAGTACCAGTTGTCTGAATATCACTCTGAAAAGAACTATTAAGAAACCGAAACACTCACCTGAATAACACAGATTAAGACAAAAGTTTCAAGAATAAATTTCGTCATCTTGTTTTAGAGTTGTTTTCTAGATATTAGAGTGAAGTAGGTGTGTTGAATGTCTTATCTTTAGGATAAATTTAGAAGCCTTGAGATAATGAACATATGTATAAGTCATCTGATTTCATGACAAAACACGCTAAAGAAACGAGAAAAACGTGTTGTGCAATCCACACCATCCCCATCTTCATAACGACAAGCTATTAGGAATTTATACGTCTTATACCTTACTTATGCAGCGATTTGATTCGATTTTATATCCATCAAAACCCTCGTCAGAAAATCTGTAAAAAATAAGTCATTCTGTCGAAGGCCCTTATTTGCTGTATTCGATGGTGTACAATCTAATCAGATTGCTGCCATTCCGTGATGTAAGAAAGATGGGTTTGGCAATCAGAGTATAAGACGAAGATGAAGATGCACTATACCTTTTTCACGCATCGGTGCTAAAGAAGTATAAGAAGTAAAAGCATTCAACTGAGCACCTTGATTCAGTCAGACAGTCACTACACCCACCTAATTTGAAAGTTTAATAATTACGGTAACATATTTTGAACATTTTCATGGTACCATACTTGAAAAATATGCCAAAGTTCAAATTTAGTGGTATCACATCGCAAATTGTCATTCAAAATAACCCTTTTTGCTATCCACTATCTCTTCCTATTTTAAAATTTATCACGACGATTGGCGTCAAATCAAATTGAGATTGGCAAATCAAGTCAAATCAAGTTGAGAATTTTTGGCATATCGATTTTTTTAGGCAACTCCCTGCAGTTGCTATAAAACTGGAGAAACTATGTAATCTAGAAATAGCTGGATCCATTGTATCTTATCTTAAAATATATTTAATATATCATTATACTATATATTGAACTTTTATGAAATAATGCTTATCAATTTTTTTATATTTAAGAAGCAACGTTTAATATACGTTTTACTTCAAAGGGAAGTAATTCTCTGCATTTTTATTTGACCACTGAGGCTACTTATGATATTGTTTAAAGATCAATTTTATTCCTCTAACATTCACGTTATCAAATGCGTAAAAAGTTCATCCAAATTAAGCCTTCGGAGGACAGTAATCCGAAGCAATGCACAGAGGAACATAGAGATCCTCTCAGTGTAAGAGAATACCCCCACAGTCCAATTTACGAAGATCAGAACACTCTTCAACGCTTGCCTGGACTTCTCTTCATTTAAAATGTTACTTGGCTTCTACTTGCGCGCTCTCTCTCTCTCTCTCTCTCTCTCTCTCTCTCTCTCTCCTTCTGCTTAGTAAATTTCTCCACACACAAGTCTCTATCTCTCCTATACCTTTTTATTCTCTTTACACTGTCTCTCCTTTCCAATCCACTCTGCTCGTTGATCTCTCTACCTACCTCTATTTTTATATTCTCTACATAGCTGTTTCTTCTACCCTAACCTCTCTGTTTGTTGTTTTTTCTCTATCTTCCTCCCCCACTCTCAACTTCCCTAACCTATCTGTTCGTTGTTTTCTCTCTATCTTCCTCCCCCCACTCTCATCTTCCCTGCCCTCTCTACTCGTCTTATGCTATTTTTTTCGAACTTTTTCGCTAAAATGATACTTTTAGACTATAGGTACGTTTCAGTACCTTCGGCATATGGATGTACCCTTTCACAATTTGCTTGGATCCCAAAGAGTCCCACAATTACGTTATCAAAATCAATGTATCTCGACAAATGTGATAATAATTAAGAGCAAAAGTAAAGAAATGATAAACTTTATTCCGTCATATCTAAGCCTTGTTACAAATACCAAAATACATATTTAAACCAGATTTTCCATTGGAAACACATGTAGTACCTGCTTCACAATCACACCATTCTCCTGATCTATTGTGTACCAGACATCTCTCACCTTGACGCTTCATTTTACGACACATATGGATCTTCAAATCATTATGGATGGGGCTGAGTTTTGATTTCAGATCTGATATCTTCAGTTGTCGTTTACTGGTGATAAAAGGAGCATAATAACTTACACAACATTCATCTGCTTGACATTTCTTCGGACATTCTATAGTCAATACAGTCTACAAGTATATGATAACATAATGTCGAGATATATTTGCAAAATATGCACTGAACATGATTAAAATTACCAGAGCCCGAAAAACAGTATGGAAACTATGGAAAAGTTCATCATAAAAATATTTAAGATGAAAATTTTACGGCTATATGATCTAAGACTATTTAAAGATAATTACTTATTTAACATGATCACAAAAGAAAAGACGACTCTCACCTGAATGACACAGATTAAGACAAAAGCGCCAAAGATCAATTTCGTCATAACGAATTTTTCGTGGTTAGGTAGCTAGCTAAACGTGTTATCTCAATGCCTTATCTTAAGTTAGATTTGGAATTATATATTATCTGTTTGTCTTAAAAAAAATAACAGACTCACAAATTTTCACGTAAATGTTCTATATTTCCCATATTTATCTCCTTATTGTCAAGAAAATTCCTTTTAATTCATGACACATGACACTATGACAATGAAAATATAGACGAACATCAGAACAACCTGATCAGATCATGTCGTCTGATATTGATCAACCATGACCCTATTTCATCTATATACCCAGTCGTAACAGGATGATTTGACACCCAGTTGTAACAGGATGATTTGACACCCAGTTGTAACAGGGCGATTTGACACCCAGTTGTAACAGGGCGATTTGAGACCCAGTCGTAACAGGATGATTTGACACCCAGTTGTAACAGGGCGATTTGACACCCAGTTGTAACAGGGCGATTTGAGACCCAGTCGTAACATGGTGATTTGACAACCAATCGTAACAGGATGATTTGACACCCAGTTGTAACAGGATGATTTGACACCCACTCCTAACAGGGTGATTTAACACCCAGTTGTAACAGGGAATCACGATCACAACCAATCGTAACAGGATGATTTGATACCCTCTCGTAACGGGGTGATTTGAGACCCAGTCGTAACAGGATGATTTGACACCCAGTATTACAGGGTGACTTTACATCCTGTCGTAACAGGATGATTTGACACCCAGCCCAGTCGTTACAGAATGATTTGAAACCCAGCCCAGTCGTTACAGAATGATTTGAAACCCAGCCCAGTCGTAACATGATGATTTTATCACTCAATCGTAACAAGATGATTTGACAGCCAGTCGTAACAGGATGATTTGATACCCAGTCGTAACAGGATGATTTGACACCCAGTCGTAACAGGGTGATTTGACACCCAGTCGTAACAGGATGATTTGATACCTACTCGTAACGGGGTGATTTAAGACCCAGTCGTAACAGGATGATTTGACACCCAGTCGTAACAGGGTGATTTGATACCCACTCGTAACGGGGTCATTTGACAACCAATCGTAACAGGATGATTTGACACCCAGTCGTAACAGGATGATTTGACACCCAGTCGTAACAGGATGATTTGATACCCACTCGTAACGGGGTGATTTGATACCCACTCGTAACTGGGTGATTTGAGACCCAGTCGTAACAGGATGATTTGACACCCAGTCATAACAGGGTGATTTGACATCCTGTCGTAACAGGATGGATGTCTGCAAAAGACAAGCTTTCAAGACAAGCAATGTCCAATCTGTCTCTTATTAATAGTTCACACAAAAGACGTTTTGATGGCAGCACAGCAGCCATTTGTATAACGCTTCGTCAAACATTTTGGCAGAACAGCAATCATTTGTTTTTCATTACGACATACATAATGGCAGCACAGCATTCCTTTTGAAAATATTACAAATATAAGGTGCTTTATTTATATTGCTTATCTTGTATTTGTGAAAATGACACCTGCAATTTTTCATTTTAGATTAGAACATGGGCTAATGTTTCCTTAATTAGTTTATTGTCCTTTCTCAGGTTGACCCAGTTTCTGTAAACAAATATTGACATAATTCAGTTCTGTGATAGGATTACTATGTAAAAGATATTCAGAAAACATGAAGTTTTAGTTGCTATCTTGACAAAACACCCTAGTTCACTATTTCCGTCAACAACTGGCTTTGGCATCCTGTCCATCTATCTAGGATAGCTTTAATAAGCGAGGCTGGACAAGCTCACCCTATCGATATATCTGATGCTATTATGACTAGGTTGTCAATTCGACAGTCCACAAAGCTAATACTATTTATTTGGTATACTTATTGGACACTATTCCATGTCTACCTCATTGATTGTTAATTTTCACAATGTCAAAATACTACGAACAACAATTAATACCTTGACATCATTGGACACTTTTTTGAATCAAGGAAGATTGTAAAAAATTGCTTTCATTGGATTGTACGCTAGCTTCAAGGCTCTGATTGGCTGTTTTCGCAATTGAATCAAATTGTTGTATTTCCCCGAAACCAGAAAAGTGTCAAATGATGTCATGGTATTCGACGGAAATCGTAATAGCTTGACATTGTGAAGATGCTTATAGCGTTGATCTTTTCTTTAAGATTGTCGCAATTAAAGGACTAGAGTGATATTTCAATACAAACGTTACTTATAGTGACATGTTGAGTCTGAGAATGCTAGATTAACTGTTGAATTTGGGAAAAACCTTACACTTGGTGGCGTCTTGTTTGTAAACGTGACTTAATCCATTGCTCTCCTTTCCTATCTGATAAGGAATGTGGTTGCGTATAAAACACAGATGTCAAAGTTATGAAACATTTCTTTTGCCACATTGGAAGGGTAAGGCTATTCTCATAAAAAAAAATATTATACCTCGATAATTCTGATACATTGTCTAATGGATTTATATTCACCCAGTGACGAAAATCTTAGTCAAAATATTTTTACTTAAAGGTCAAAAATTCTGTTAGCTCAAATGTGTGAAAACTATAACCAAAATCTAGGGAAATGTGTCCATTTACGTACCTGACAGTTTTTACTAAAAAAATCCAGCCGTTAAAAAAGTTAATGTTTGTTTTGAATTTTGAAAGCTGTTAGAAAATTGTTATACGGATTTAAGTAAAATAAACGCATAATTGTAGAGAAATGTGTTTTCTACGTATTCTAAAGGTTTCAACTAATAATATCAAGCCAAAACTAGGTGAAACAGCTTAAATTACAATTAGCAATTTAATTAACCCTTTTAAAACAAATTCAGTTTTTATCAATTATAAATACATGTAGCAAACTTTAGAATTATTTTCAGGTAAAAGCTTGATTTACGACTTTTTTTTTATAATAAAAATTTATAGCGGAATGCCCATTAAACGCTGACTATTTAAGTGCATAACAATGTTGGAAATGAAATGAAATAATCATTTATACCATCTTCCCCAATTCCTGCTATTAAATTATGGGTCGCTCATTCCTTTCAGGAATCACCATGAAGCTTATAATCTTAGCAGCATGTGTATGTTTGGCCGTGTCGGCCCCAACTGGTAAGTAATAACTTTTACTTAAAATTTAGCCATTGAACGACATACATGAAAATTTGAGTACAAGAATTTACCATTAAAAGCAGTATTTTAAGCCAGTTTCCGGGAGAGACGATGTGGGTGGTCTTCATGCACATTTCATCTCAAAATAATTCATTTTGTAAGAGATGTTCGCGAACAATAAAGACTTTCTACACCAAGGTTCAATCGCATCCATACTTACTCATAGCCTGTTTTATTATTCCAGTCCAAGAAAGAGGTCTATTGGACTCTCTGACAGGTTTAACAGATGGAACTAAATTAGGATCAGCTATGAAAGTTTTAGATGCCTTCTCTAAAGTATCAACATTAATCAGTGATTTGAAGAATATCGCTCCAGAAGCTCATAAAGCTTTATCTGGTAGTATTGATGAGATTAAGAACAGTATGGGTAGTATTGTAACTGGTATAACATCAGCTCTAGAAGGTCAAACTAAATCAGGTTAGTGACATTTATTTTTTTTTAAGGTGTATCTACGTTCAAGTCAACTCCTACGTGTTTTTGTCGAGGACAATGTATAAGATAATGAATCCGATTCTTCTCTGTTTTGTAACCAGTGTGTTAATCCGTATTCACCTTTGCCTTGTGCTACCCATCTTCACATTTTTGCTAGAATCCATAGAAGATTTTAGACGACTTTTGTTGTTCGTTCATTGATCGACATTTTTGTAAGTATAATAATATCTACCCTCGACTCCAACTTATTGTTTGTATAAACATGATCTTAAGGGTATAAACATTTCATATTATGATCTTTATTTCAGTAAAAACACGAGGTCTGTTAGACTCTCTGACAGGTTTAACAGATGGAACTAAATTAGGATCAGCTATGAAAGTTTTAGATGCCTTCTCTAAAGTATCAACATTAATCAGTGATTTGAAGAATATCGCTCCAGAAGCTCATAAAGCTTTATCAGGTAGTATTGATGAGATTAAGAACAGTATGGGTAGTATTGTAACTGGTATAACATCAGCTCTAGAAGGTCAGACTAAATCAGGTAAATGACGTTTGTGCCTTTGGAAAGTCTGTGTTTGAGTCAACTCTTTTGTGCTGATGTGGGAGAGGAGGCAAATAAAAACTGTTAATTATATGCGTTTTTGCCCCAAAATATGTTTCAGAATGCACCGAATCAATCCAATTTTTTGAAACTTTCGTGGGAGAACCTTTTCAGACGATCCTTGAGAGTCTTGCGACTATGAAGCCTCCACAGAATTGCCATATTTTTCAAATCAGCCTTTTGAATTGTCCCCCTCCCTTTGAGCAGGTTTGCCCCCTATTTGTACCCCCAGTCTCGGAAGGCTGGCCACACCACATTATTATGATCTTTATTTCAGTAAAAACCCGGGGTCTATTGGACTCTCTGACAGGTTTAACAGATGGAACTAAATTAGGATCAGCTATGAAAGTTTTAGATGCCTTCTCTAAAGTATCAACATTAATCAGTGATTTGAAGAATATCGCTCCAGAAGCTCATAAAGCTTTATCTGGTAGTATTGATGAGATTAAGAACAGTATGGGTAGTATTGTAACTGGTATAACATCAGCTTTAGAAGGTCAGACTAAATCAGGTTAGTGACGTTTATTTTGTTTTTGGTGTATCTACGTTCAAGTCAACTCGTACGTGTTTTTGTCATGGGCAATGTATATGGTAATGAGGCCAGTTCTGCTTTATATTGTCTTGGCTAGAACCCACAGAAGGTTTAAATGACTTACGATTTTCGTTTATCATTAGACATTCATCTTAACATAATAATATTTAGCCTGAACTCTATTACTCGCATAAATGTTCGCAAACCATGTCACAATATTGAACCTATCATATAATGGCCTTTATTTCAGTAAAAACACGAGGTCTGTTAGACTCTCTGACAGGTTTAACAGATGGAACTAAATTAGGATCAGCTATGAAAGTTTTAGATGCCTTCTCTAAAGTATCAACATTAATCAGTGATTTGAAGAATATCGCTCCAGAAGCTCATAAAGCTTTATCTGGTAGTATTGATGAGATTAAGAACAGTATGGGTAGTATTGTAACTGACATCACCAAAGCTATCAAGCCAAGTCAACAATAAAGATATCTTAGAGCGTGGTGTATTTTATTTTATTATGCTGACCCAAAAGGTACTGGACCTTCTGCTGAGACATAGCAGCGTATCCTTACTTTCAAGTAAAACATTAAAATAAATTTTTCAAAGACTAGAAAATAATGACTGGATAAAATGTTAGAAAATCAGGGCGCCTCTGACATAAATTTGCCCTGGTTGTCGCTTTTAATCGAGATTCGACCAAGACCGTTAGTTTGCCCGCACCTTTAGCTTTACAAAATACATATTCAAAACTATAACTGATGTATCTACCAAATTGGGAACTGTTGGACAATGTCTTACGGGTATATATTACCAACAAATACCAAGAATGAGGTAACGACTTGAAAAAAACTACGTCAAAGAAAGATTAAAATCGAGAGTGAAATAAATAAGAGTAAAAAACAATCCTTATCGATTAACCGACATGAAGAAATCTACAATATTGACATTACTGTTGTTTTGTTGACTTATTTAATAGAATGACTTGAATTGAAATGAAATGTATTAACCCCTTCAACTCGGAAAAGAGGGATCAAGAAAAAGGGAAAATTATTTTGCAGTAGGTTATGGTGGGATAGTCTGAAAATTGGGTCTTTCAAATAAAAGAGGCTCAAACATTCAATACATGATAATAACTCAAAAACTCTACCTAACATCTTTACAATTATTAAGTGATTATTACTGATTCCGTAAGTGAATTAAGAAAATATGGGTTATACTATGATCAGGCTGCAAGGTTTTCCAGGAATTTTCGCACGAATATTACCTGTATTTTCTTCTTTTTTTGGTTGTTGCCCGAAAAGAGGGGCTGCCCGTCTCCTACGCATTTCAGCAAGTACGAGTTTACTTCATCCTTGAATAAATACCCCAATCGTCTGATGTTAATCTGAACTGTGTGGAAAGGCAGTAGACAAGTTGAGATTCCATTGCGAAGTTGGAGTTGGTTTGTCTCTCAGGTTGCTCCGAATATAGTAAGTCCTGGGCGTGGTCCTCTCGTGAAATTGTCAAGCGCTATGGCTGGTAGAAAGTCTCCGGATGTTCCCCCCAGTTTGTGTCAGAAACACCAGATGTCATTTCGATTACCAACTATGTAGGAATCTTGAAAGTGCACACAGGGACCCCGGGTGTCCGATTCGAACGACGCTTGTGACACCGGGAAAACGGGTTATTATGGATAAGTGTATCTTTAAACTCTTACAAGACAAAGAACAATCCCCTATCTAGTATTGAGGAGATAAAACATAGTGATTATCTAGTAGCCAAAATATTTCATTTCTTATATTAACATAATTATCACCACTAGTAATCTACCTTTACGTGCCGATACAAAATAAACTCTATTTAAAGCAACGTATTAGTTTCTGAAATTGTATTGTTTTGTTGAGAACTGCTTGCTTGCTTTTTTCTATAAAATTCCCATACTAGAATTAAGATAGTTGTTTTCCGAGTTATTTTATACATGTCTTATTAGAAATAGGTGATATGTCAGCTTATTATGATAGTGTCTTTTATATTACAATTCTAATAACGAATTAGAATACAATATTTCTTTTGGGCTTGATATTTTCACACTGAAATGAATCTGACATTTCCAAGTAATTCGTAGATTCAAATATACATGAATTTGTAGATTCATACATGAATTTGTAGATTCATACATGAATTTGTAGATTCATATTTGAATTTGTAGATTCATTTGTGAATTTGTAGCTTCATATGTGAATTTGTAGCTTCATATGTGAATTTGTAGATTCATATATATAAGAATTTGATAAATTTGCATATTATTCATACATGAATTTATAGATTTATACATGGATTTGTAAATTCATGATGTGTGTGTATGAAATAATTTATACATATCAGATTAATGAATTGTCTCAGAATTTCTATTTAATATTAGCGATTGAAATTGAAAATGGAAGATTAAGTGGTTACAAGGAATTCGTAGAAGGTAGAAAAGTTTCAATGTGGACAGGATTTTTTCGTTTTAAAAAACAATTTTCCAGTAATATTTTGTTACAAATAATATATTACTGTTCTTATAATATTGTCCCCTTTAAACTAATTGATATCTGAGATCAACCCTAGATTTATAAGAAGTCTCACTTTATCGATAAGAGGTTGATTGTTATTGAATAAAGCTCAAAATAAAACATGATTTGAATTGAATTGATCAGATAAAACGTTTAATAAATTTGGAGATATTAAGGTCTGGGATAATATTGTTGAGTTTTAAACAGAAAGGAAGTCGCATTATTATAGACAGGGACTAGATAAAGTATCAAATCTATATAAAATATCTGAAAGAACTTTATTTGATTAATAGATTAAACTACAGGTAAGTTGTTCAGTTTAAATCAAAATATTAATCCTTAATCATTTATGTAAACAAGACAATGTTAAATACATCAAATGTTCCTCTCGGTGTAAATTCAAATTTCTCACACCATCTTTGAGTCTTGAAAAATGAACCCTGTACAGTTTGATAAATCGAAAATTTAAAATCTAAATCTAAATCAAAGTGCCTTCTTGATCGTATAGCAAAATGTCGTTAAAATCACTTGCAAGCTGATAATAATTATGAATAATTCCTAAATGAAAACATTGGACACTTTTGACGCTGTGTTCAATATTATTTGCTGTTGGATAACTGGTATTTTCAATCCCTCTTCAATTAAATGTGACTTATTTTGGTGTTTTTGGCTTGTAAAAGTATTTGTAAAATTGTACAGTCGACTACTGGGTATTTTTTTTGTAGTTTAGGTGTCCTATACCACATGAAATATTTGTTAGATTTAAAAGTTGTTTTCTGCGCAATATTTGACTTTTTTTATTTTTTGGAAAAGACATCTTGCCAGGCAAGGTAAAAAAATGCCAACACAGCAGCTTTGTTATAAATAATGTTAAATCAGTCTTATTAATTTATTAAATACTGTAGCTTATCTGTATTTACTGACAGCTTTCTTGAAATAAGTTAAAGGTGGTAGCCCAAGAGCTAAAATTTCTTTGAAATCAGATGAAAACTGTAGTTTCTGAAGAATTGTTGACAGACTAATGAAATGTATAAAAACAACTAATTATTGAACATATACTTGCTGGTAAAAAATATTTTCTATTGAAAATGACTGCAAGAGTTATTTGTATACGCCCTACAATAATTTGCCTCGAAAATGAAATAACGGTAATTAATCATTCTTTCGACATATTGAACATATTAGATAAATAAATAATCATTTTAGACATAATATATTAAATTAATAGTGCTTAAATATTCTTTACAGATATACAACATTACACTGTCGTCTTAAAAATATCTTGCCATGAGTTGTTCTACTCCACCAGTTGTTAATAATGGAGTGGTCACTAGCACCAATACCACAGCAGAATATTCCTGTCTCAGTGGTTTCAAAATGTCAGGAACTAAAAGCATTAGTTGCTCAACCACTTCCGGTTGGGGATCTCCACCAACATGTACTCCTATTGACTTAAAGAACACAATTTATGCACAGTTTGGTAAGTAAATATTAGCAATGTTGGAAAATAAATTTTGTTGATTTGTCACAAAAATCTTAAATTTTACCAACTCGTTGGGAAATTTAAAACATTATATGATGTCATGTACCATTTAATTAACGTTTGATCAACTTACAAATAAATGAATCGGATGAGGTAACTGGTAGACAATATCAAAATCAGTACACACAAGAATGATATTGATAACCATTATACCTTTTATAATATGCCTTGAATTCTCTTCCAAGCACCTGATTGGTTAATGTACCTTTTGGGGGTGTTGATGTCACTACTGGTTCTGTCCTGTATAGCTTGTACAATTTACCATTGCTGCTGGTAAGTAGAGACTTTTTCCCCAAACTCATGCAAAGAAACTAGACAAATAAAAATAAGGTAACTGAAACGAAAATAAGAATGGTTATCCATCTACAAAGATTCATTCTTCAGAAAGGATTTGTTGGCAGACGGAAATTGTTATCCACACTTACTACCGTTCGTATATCCGACTACAATACAGATTATTAAATTTGAATTTTTTTTCTCATAACGATTTAGAATAGCCTGAAATACGAGGTCTTTGTCCGATGTTGAAGGATAATGATACTATTATTAGTACGAGATAGTCCATTTTTTCAGTCGTGCTGCTGGAGCCGCCATTTACCCAGAAGGTGGTGGTGCTGCACGTTCAACTTCCTGTTGCCCATGTGGTCGTAGGGGGGAGAACTCTTCTACATATGAAAGTAACATCATACATAATTCAAATTCGGTTCGCAAAAAACAAGACGTGGTAACAAAACACACGACTACAACAATGCATGGAACAGAGGTAAATCATGTTGAAGAACCTAATGGAGTTTATACTACTCATGATGGTTTAATCCTAGTTCCTGTTAAACCATATGAGGTAATATATTTCAACTATTCTGTTATTTTTAGAATGAATATCATCCTATCTACTACATAGTGACAATAGTTTATTTGTTGACTATTGTTGAAGATATCGGCAACTTTAGGTATGAAGTGAGCAAACTCACAAAACAGGCGAATTGATAATAATCCATTGCGGCGCTATTCTAGTGGAACTGAGGGTACAAATAGGGGCAGAGTAAATGAGGGCTTGCAACTGACGGGGTTGAGCAGTATGAAAGCGCCTTGGGGAAATGTAATGTAATATGGACATTACGCGTGTTTTTTTGGCAAAATCATATAACATTCATACCTTGAAATATCCTAGAAATGAAGCGTGTCTTATACAATATGGGGATTCAATGTCCCCTGCACCCCGTCTCCACTAGTCTTCAAATACGAGGCTTGTATATTTTCTTTTAAATTGCTCTTAATAAGAGCTTTTTATTGATATATTCACCTGTTTATCAGAGAGTGTTATAAAGCACCACTCTCATACGTTTATGTTTGTGTAATACCAATCATTAATACATTCGACTAAAAAGGTCTGAAATTATTGTTTCAGTTGCACGAATATCATAAGAATGTTAGCACCAAGAAAGCATTCCCTGTACATGGAGGAGCACACTCAGATACTAACGGTAGTACACCACGCTCAGAAAAGGATGGTAGTGATAGAAATCTCAAAACAGTGGTGAAACCGATGCCTTTATGGATGCCGCATGCCAAACCCGTTAGAAATAATAATACCAGTACACATTAAACATGTATGAGATCGTCTAGTGTACGCACGTTGGAGTTTATAGAAGGCAAATATGTTTATACACATCTGGCTATCCGGATATTATGGTCAAAGAATAAACCGAACAACCGAACTACCAAACTACCAAACTAATACAGGAAGATTTAAAAATAAACAATACACACTTTCACACTTTCTGCATGCGCTCATAGTGATGGTTAGTCACACCCTCCGAATGCCTTACATTTTATATACTCGAACATAATGTACTGGTCGTGATGTTTTGATGGAACCCAAAGCGCATAAATAACTCTGCTCGTTAGTCCTAGTTAAGTAATAACCACATAATGTACTTGTATATATATTTCCAACATGGGCAATAAGAAAACTGCTTTCTCTCTATTCTTTAATATTACTATGCAAGAGGTTAGACTCAAATGTTAAAATGGTGTCTTCTGAAGGAAAGGAAGCTTGTTACTTATTAATCTAAAGTAGAGACATGTAACCAGTCATACTGTGATATTTTATATATATATATATATATAATATTATAAATAAAAATTGTTAACTGACTTTTCGCTTTTAAAACAAAATTATAATGTCAGCTGAACCAAAAGTCCAATGCTGAGTTGGTCGGATAATCTTAGTTACCCATTCAAGATTACGAACATTTTTATCAATTAAACCTTTCATCACTCCTTCATTCACAGACTTTTTCACTACACTGTGCTTGCTATTTTGAAGCTGGAGCTTATCGCCATGTTGCACAACACAAAATCCCATATTACACCTACTGTACATGATCAGAAAATTGATGATCCGATCTGTTGATGTGAGAAAACTCGTTTGAGTTAAATGTTGTTGGCTTGGCGGTTTATTGAAAAACGTAGAGCACACGTGAAATGTGAAGACCATAATTCTAGGGATGTGACAGAGGATAGGCTTCGTGGCCAGTCATAACCTTTAAAATTCTTTGTTAAGGGGAATAACTCTTCACTTGAATTGAATACTATCAATATTACCAAACCTATGCAGAACAGGTTTCTTACTGATGTCTAGTGTATACTTAGCTTTTATCTGTACCTGCAATTCTAGAAAGACTTAACCGATCATAATGCTTTCCTTTCATATACCATTCAAGTTAAAGTGATATATTCGGAAGGGGTAATGGAGGAGTGAGGGTGGTCGGTTGCAGGAAGGTGTGAACTATTCAACTAAGATTTCCTGGAGCAGCGAACTGTTGCTATCACTTTTTCGAATAACAAAAAAATTAATAAATAACTTAATCACAATTGTTTATAAGCAGAATATAATTCAAATCACCCATGTATGTAAACTGTGTAGTATTATACACATTACATTCTTTAAAGCTCATTTAGCTTGCAAAACACAGATCGAAAGGCTGTCAAAATCCAAGCTTTGATTGCTTCGTAAACATATGTTTTTTGGGGTCTATAATATAGGCCCCAAAATCGTTTTGGTCTGGTCTTACTTCTATTTCATTGGTGATAACTTTAAGTGTCCTTATTACTTCGTATTGGTCTTATTTCCCCCTAATACGAAACTATTGTTTTGATACCGACGAAATTATTATGTGTGCTAGGTCTGTCTCTTTTGTGAGCACAATGAAAATTATATTGATTCACTACTCAATAAAGGTGGATACCAACCTCAGGCTAGACCCCTACTCTACACTCACAGTCGTGCACTCGATGATTTCGCCGTGAGATGTTTAGTTACATACTAGGACGTTTTTTTGGGGAATTTTTTGGGGGGCGTTACTACGGGCCATAATACCATTAACAGTTGTTTATAATAATAAAAAGAATAGTACATAATATACCGTTGATGTAAGTGAGTTGTATACAGTATGATAATTCTGGTCATTGATGCATGTTATATGACACTGATATAACGCAAACGTCCACCCAAGACTTAGAATAGCCTTAATAGAAATGAAATTAAAGCACATGGCTATAGTTGTCTCTCATACAATCTCAATTCGCCAGCGTATTGACCCGCCTTATCGTTGCAATTGGACTTAAACAGTTCGTAATACTGACCAGGATTTTGTACGTATTCGGGAAATAACATAGATAGCATAATGTCATCACACTTCGTTGTAACGAATTCTGGGATTCTTTGTATGTGGAATGCTATATGATTTCGAATTTCCATAGAATCACTTCCGTAGAAATTTAGACAATAATTAAGTCTATCTTTAACAACATACGTCTCCGCTACCGAAATAACTGTAGACTGTAGATGCCCCGATTCCCAGAAACCGAATCTTTCCAGCAGAGATGGGATATTTTCCTCCAACAATCGATAGGAACTCCAGTCTGCTACGATGCGATGGTCTGGAAACATCCATTGTGAAGTTGGTGAGTAAAAGATTTCTTTCAGTCTGTTGTACCTAATCTCTTGAATGTCATTTCCAATGTTTGGATTTATTTTGTCTGTATTAAAATCTGTTCTTTTACAACAAATATCACAATTGATCTGAAAAATAATTTAAAAATAAATAAATTCTGTAATGTCAGATAATAGGATTACGTGGTACCCGAGAATACATTGTGCTTCCAGTAAACTATATAATGCTGATTTCAGAGTGCTCTTTAGAAATGAAATTGATGGTGTTTTAGTCCATTAAATTTAATCAAAACGCACCTGTTTTAGAATATATTTATAATTCCTCAAAATTTTGTCTTCGTGTTCTGAAGTCGTTTCTGAAGTCGCTGTTAAACAGTCGTATTCTAACTCAGGGGAAATATGGCGAAGTTTCTTGACGATATGTTTTATTATCTGTCCCATAATACCTTGACCTTGAAGTTTGGCCTTGACCCTTGCACCACTCGTTATCATAGTTTTGCCACCATCAACTATCTTTCCGGCGTTAAATGCAATCTGAAAGTTTAAATTGAAGACGAGTATTTAGCAAGCTCACTAACTAACGAATTCGAATCCCACTCAATTTATATGGAAGATTATGACACACCATTAGTCCGTTCACTCGGAAGGGACAATTAACATAGGCTCATGTAGCCATGTGTATAGTTGGAGATCGAAATATTTTAGGCTATAAATGGCTAACTTTGTAGTCTTATTAACCCGATTAGGGACAGAAAAAGTAGGACATGAATAAAATTTCATATCGGATTTTCATTAGAAAGAATCTGAGAAGTGAGGAGATGAGCGTTTAAAAACATGACCATGAAAAAGTATTCAATGCAAGCATTTTGTTCCTATAGTGCGTTTTAAACGGTTTAACTTACGATCTGTCCTTCTATAATACCAACATAACAATGATACCACGTTAAATACTGATGGTACATACTGGCTACGAAATCAAAACCATATAGAAATTCACCAATTTTCATGATCTCATCATAATCTGAAGAGCCGGCTTCTCGGATGGACAGTTTCTCACAGATATCCGACATCTTCGAATTTTCTTTGATATCTCACAAAAGAGGTTTGGTATGAAACCTGAAATGATTTTGTTATTCTGTCGAATTCTCAGGAATTGAGAACTGCAGACAAACGCACACATTGTCTTCAAAAGCCAACATAATCAATCAGTATCATTGAATTTGAATCAACAAAGTGCAATTTTTAGACAAATTGGCATCTTTTTCGGTTAACATTTCTTATAGAGAGGAGTGTTCATGAACACGAAGTCTTTCCAAGACCACCATGGCTATCTTGATCAAGAGTCGAGATTGAGCCACAACTCGAAAAAAAAACGGCTGTAACAACACGTTGTTCTGGTTTAAGCTTAAATTTATACTTACTTGATGTGTAGTGGTTATCCTCTCTTGGGGAAAATGTCTGCGAAACAATATTCATACTTATCGTTATCATTAAATCTATATACATGTATCATTTCTTATCTCTGTAAACCACGCCCACTCTATGAAGTGGAGAATAGACCACGGACTACTGTCTTCGTGAATTAAAGACCACCGGTACATTTTTCAGACTGATAAAAAATTACCCTCGAAAGTGCCAAAACAGTAATTAGTTATATGTATTATGATACGCCCACATGTACCAGGTCTACCATACGTCTTATAAGGTGGAATTAAAATTGGATCGTAGAAGTTTCGCTTACTTACTTATAATGTTGATACCTGGAATGATATACCGAAATAACACCACATCGGTTCGAAATAGATAAATGCCTTTTTGAGACTACAACTGGTTATTTGATTAGTTAAGGCTCTGTCAAACCAAGAGGATTAAGCCAAGGTAAGGCGGCGCAACTATCGATATGTTTGAATATATAACAACTAACATACCAGTTTTCCTTAAGTTTCTGTGACACCATAGCGATTTGTACATATGCCAACGTTTGAAGAATACGTTGAATTTCGACGAATACGTTATGGCTAAGTTTTGTATAAGTTAGAAGTACTCTAAAGGAGGTTGGTACACAAAATCGTACACGTAAAACTGCTTATGCAACGTTTTAAAATGTACACTGTAGTCATCATTCATTTCGTGTAACATCTACAACTGACATAGCGAGCGTTGTAGCCGACAGTGTGGCTGTTGTCCAATTTGTTTCAGAACGTTATCTCCCCTTACACTAGTTGTTTTAATACAAAAAGCTCCATCAATTTGGACAGCTTTTTACAGCTCTATCGCTGTATTTTTGTTGCCAAGAATCGACAATGGTCAATGGCGTTCGTTAGAAAGTAATATATCTTTGTGGTACATCAGAAATGAAATAGCGTATGACGTTTTTTTTTGTTTCTTTTAAGTGCAACTCATTTGTGATGTAAGGGCAACGTTGTAATACATACTGTGTGGACATTTTGTTAGTCAGGACAACGTTAACGGAAATCGCATCAAATTCAGAAGATGCGATAAAATAATGTAACTTAAAGAGGGAGGGGTATTACTATGTAACAATTGCCTGAAGGTTACATATTTTTGATGATGGAAGGTTGGAAGCTGTTCCATCTACCCGTTTAGAATATATGGGACCAACACATAATTTGATACCCTTTACATATATGAACATATTTGAATAAATTAAACTTTTTTTTTAAATTAACGAGATTTTCAAGGTTTTAAATTAAAAACATTTTATTAAAATTTATACATACTATGTACATTAATGTAACACCACTGTCTTGAAAATGAACGAACGAAATAGAACGTTATCTTATGAGGATAAAATCCGGTTGAAATGATGACAGTAAAGGAAATTTGACCATTTATGGTAAAACGTGATATGCACTATATTGTCTTAACAAACAGGATTTTTCTGAGGTTACATTGTTTCAAATAAAATTTCAATATTTTGTGTGGTGCAATATATACCATTTTTCTATACTTAATTATATGTCTTGTGAGTTTTATACCATGTAAACTGACCAAAACTGACTTCAAAACAAGAGTAAAATCTTGTTGTTTCAACAATTTACACCATGATCCATATTGTATTGTATGGTATCCCATCAAATCTTGATTGTCTGCGATGATCAAATCAACACCAATCAAGAGGAGCAATAAGTAGGATTGCTGATATCATAAAGAACAACCTCTTGATCATCAAGTAGTCTTTCATTACTCTTTCTAACTCCATACACCATATATATAACTAAACCTGAAATAGACAAGATATAATTTATAATCTACAAACCATTACCGAATTTTACTTTTTCGGGCTATGTTAAAGGCCATAATTCACAAACCCGTCAACGAAATTATATGAAAATAATTCATATAATTATTTTCATTAAAACTGCAATCTTTATTGCGTCCTTAAGCATTGCTAACTGACTGGTCGACGAATGTGGTTTCTTGGCAGAATAATTGTACAATCACATTCGAACATTCAGGACAATATAATTCAACCAACAGATATTATGATGAGCATATTCATGAAAAAGGTATAGATATTAGATTTTTCTTTCAATGGCAGACAATCAAAATACAACTCTGTCGTCTGATAGTTGGTTAAACCATTAGATGACACTGTCTGTAACAATCCTTTGAAAGTCAATTCTATCAACCAGTTCTGTTACGTAAGAAATGCAAACTATGAAATTTACAGATTTTTAACACAGTTTGATTGTCGGAAAGCTTGACATATTGAGAGAACCTTGATTATAATATTCGTCATCTACAATCATCCTTTGAAGAATTAGTTCTCTGAAACCAATTCTATCAACAAGTTCTTTTGCTTTATCAAGCTTTGCAAACTATGGAACTGACAGGCGTTTACAAAGCTTGATTGGCCGAAAGCTGAACATATTGTGAGAATCTTGTGAGAAAAAAACCGAAGATAGAACACATGGTATTGAATCTGACCCTGATTACTGTTAATAAGTATATTTATGACAGTCTAGACTTCATTCCACATTACGTTCCAGTAAAAAAGATATTCAAGGCGATAATTAGAGAGTAAAATTCCATATTATCCTCGCATCTTTACATGTCTGGTTCAGAACCTTGTTAGTTCTTCAAATTAACAGGGGCTTAGACCCCAAGCACTTCCTTCTACTGAAATCAAAGACGGAATATCTTGCAGGGCAGTGTATATATTAGTATATATACCAATATATTTCTTTCATGAGCCCAATGGAAAGATCGAACATTTTGATATGATTTCGATAACAATAGCATCGAATCAATCTAATAGGTTAACCTTTTTTGCAAAAATCGCTGTGGCTGAGCGATCAAGATCCCTGCTGAAATCGATTCTAGTTTGAATGCTTCCGGACGTTTCAACGGCCAGTGATTTAGTTGCGACATGCTATAACTGCGCTTAAGTTATTCGGATAGGGAAATAGACAAGGAACCCGGTTGGACCAGATGTACACATTGAAGATTTGTTTACAATTATAAAGATGAATACTGCTGCTGGCAGTCCCCCAGTGGTCACTTTAACCTTGAGATAAGGACTCAAAACTCTCCTTCATTTCTAAGGATTTACAAAGTCAATATGTCAATAATCAATAATGAGGCTTCAGTGTGTATTCTGACATACACAAAATAAAATATTTCGTTTCCCTCAATTAAAAAAAGCACCACTAAATCCCACTCTATTTCCCCAGCCTTTGTATATACATGTACATGTTTTCTAACCAATATAGTATATCCATCCTCGTATATTGAAGACAGTGCATTAGAACACTAGAATATAAAATTGATCCTGTAGCCAATAAAACCTTATCTCAACTAAGCCATCGGTTGGAAATGTTGGCATCAAAAATCCATTAGATTTTCCGTTGATTTCTAGTTTTATTGAAGTTTTTATGTTAACATTCACATCACTTCATCTACTTACCGCCGATTGCTCTACAAAACATGCTTAAAAATCTCAATTTTTTTCTGTTCTAAGTGTTCTTTTTATACGAAACTTTTAAGAGACATAGTCGTCAAATCGCTTCATGACCGAGAGAGCTTGTATACAGCTACCCTCATGCCCGTAACCGGACTTGATTGTTCGGAGGAGCCAACAATATGTGCAAAAGGGTAATGGCGTATGGTGTTTAGTTGCATGTGGGCGGTTGTCAACATTTTTTCTGTGGGTAATCCATTTTTTCGAGAGGGGGGGATGGGGGCTTCCCTCTGTAATTACGGGCCTGGCTACCCTGTTTGTCTACATCCGAAGAGTTGAGACCTCGGTAGACCGGCACTCCCGTCAAAAGCTATAGTTTTGTTGAATAAGATCTGTTGCAGATCATACTTTTAGCATCCAATGACTTTAATGGTAGTCGTATGATCACGGCATCTTTTGATTACCGAATACGTCAGTTGAAATCTAATTATTTACACAGTTAAATAATATATGATATTTCCCTTTAAATATCGCTTCAAATAGTCAAATCAATTTTTCATCCATTTCAAATTAACTTTTATCAATAGTGTATTGGATAATAAATGTAGTGTTAGAGTTCATTTAATACACGTGACTGATGCTAGGACGTTATAACCTTCAATAGGTTGACAATTTACTGAAAACTTTAAAGTCCAGATTTCATCATAAATTCTGATGAGATGTACAAGTAGATTAATGACACCGACAAAGTTAATAAATATTTACTGATATTTTCAAGGCATGAAAACACGGAATAGAATCATTTTGGCATTAGATTGAAATATATATATATACTGGTTACTAGTCATTAGGCCTATACTAGCATTTATGCAGAGCTATGCAGCTGAAAACTCACCTCATATCTATGGTTTACTCACCTGTTTTAAAATATTCATAAATGGCTTATACGCAAAGTTTTTGTGTTTTCTGAAGCAATTTGTTACTTTGGTTCCCTTGAGTCTAGAAACTTGGTATGTGAAAAGTTATTGATTCTATAAGATTGATGGTTATTTTAATGTTTCGATTTCTTCCACAAATTTTCCACCGAATCAATCTCTAACTTGTATAATTTCTACTCGACTACTTAAATAGAAATGTTATATGTCA